GTTCTGCTTTTGCCTCTTGTCCTGCAGAGTGTCCACACATGGGACACGAGCAAGTCTTATGCTAATTTTTATTTTAGCTTGTGACTGGCTAAAAAGGTGTGTATCATTAAGCATGCAAGTTCACATGCCAGCTCTGCCACTCTTGTGTGTTTACCCTGAGGGTTCATTAATCTTTCTTGTCAGAAAAATCTTTGTATGTGCCTGATGCCGTGAATAGTTGTGTTTGGCTGTTTCAAAGGTGATCCTCCTGGATCACCTGCTGGATAGTCTTTGGTTTGGTATGATAAATGCTTGGGGTTTTTCTTCCCTCCCCCTCCTTCTGCATGGTGCATTTGACTGTCAGCATTCCTTTGCCTTTATCTGTGCGCTCTTTAGGATGTCCATATAAAGTTGCTAAATGGAATTTTTATTGGCTTGGCTTAATAATCAAACAGTTTCCAGGCTGGTTCTGTCTAGTGCTATGTGGATCTATTCTGAGAAAGAGGACACTGTTGTTTTTTGGGGCTTTTTTCCCTTTTCCACAGACTTTAGTTGGGGATATTGCTGATTCAAAGGTTAAGGTTTAATTAATTTCTGGAAAGGCTACTTTGTTAGATTAAGTAAGGCCTGAGTCATATCAGCCTGGAACATCAGCATCCTAATTGGAAATGAGTGTATTGTATCGGTGTATTGTGCAGAAAACCACAAAATGCATAGTGCAAGTGGCCCCTGAAATGTAACACCAAAACAAAGAAAAGCAAACAGGATATTGTGGTTGTGTAGTAAAATGACATTTGAACAGAATGTAACTTTGAGCTTGAAATAGTGATAATCTTTTGTATTCAGAAATTGCCTAAAATTTCTGTGGCTGTCTAAATTCCATGGAAATCAGTAAGCTGTTAAACTTGTACCTTTTGAGCAGGTGATATCATTCCTGTGTTGAACAGAATTATTTTTCATCTGTAGTAAGTGCTTGACTTTAAATTCTACTGGCCCCACATTAAGTGGCCATGCCCACATTTAATGTGTGTTAATTATCAAAGACAATGCAAGTTTGAAAAAGTAAGCAGTCTATAAATCCTCCTTCAGATAGGTGAAATTGCTTCATAAATTATGAACCAGGAACTCTCTGGGCCTGGGTGGTTGCTATTTTACTGGGTACTACTTAGTTTGTAAAGTGAGTTGCTCAAGCTCTAGCCTAGGAGGAGATTACATGAATTTCCTTTTGCCCAGGGAATGTCTGTTTAAAATAGAAATTACAGTGTATTGAGTATATTTTCACCTGCCCAGGTTTTTATTGGTGCCCCTGAAGCTTTCAGTGAAGTTGGGACACAAACAGCATCTCAGGAATGTGTTGTGGTTTTCTGAGTATTATTACTGTCCTGTTCTCTGCCTGAGGTAGCGAAGAAGGATTGTGGCGAGTGAGGGGAGCACAGGGTCACACAGTTGTGCAGGAGGCTGCTGCAGCATCAGCTGTGCTGGGGATTGCTTGCAAAGTGTCCCCTTCATTTCAGGTGGTGATAGAAGTGCTTTAGGTGCCCCTGTGCATGTGCCCAGTATTACACCTGGCCTGGGCTGTTCAATCAAATCACTGTTCGTCTCAGCACTGGTATTTATCAGTGTTTCCCTCTGAGACACATGGAAAAACTCAGTATAGGGGAACTCTGTATTTCAGCTTTGTTTTGGGCTTAGCTAGTTGTAGTTTAACTTGAGAACTGGAAGTGCAGATTGTTTAATCACACTTTCAGACATGTTTCTGTACAGATTTGGACACCTGACTAAGAATGATCTGTTACAGATTTAGTTTTAGCAGAAAACTGTCAGTGTGTGCCTGCTCGTGCTGGTGAGTCAGCGGTGCAGGATTTATAAATGATCTATCAGAGCCTTGTGTGACTTCTTTGCCCTTTTTGATGCCAGGGGGAGTTCAGCTTCCTTCAGGTTAGATTGCTATTATTTGCTTTATTTTACAAAGGGATTTTGTTTTCCAACATCCAAGTGGTCATTCTTTAGAAAAGCCTTTTTTCTCTACAGTAATAATTGCAGGGCTGAGATTGTAATTCACTATTTCACTAGTTTTACTGGTAGCAATGGTGGAAAATACAGGGTGAACAAGGTTTGCAAGGTATTTTCTAAGGAAAAAGTATAATCCAAGCAGTTTGGTGCTATAAAAGTACAAGTATCTGAATGCTGTCCATGCTAATAAATTCTGGGTACCATAAGCCACAAAGTAATGAATTTGCTAGAAAGCTTTAAGGAGAATAAATTAAAAACCACTGCCAGAAGATGGATAGATAAGGGAACTTTGAGGAATTGGGACCAAATTCTCACTGATAGAGTTTCACAGCAAGGAGAAAATACCCTCATGTTTTCTGAAGCTTGGCTGGGAGCAGTCTTGTTTGATAATCATGTAGCAACTCAAGTTAAACATTCAGAGTTCAAGGGGAAAGCAGTTAGCATAAAATACCATTTTGATTGAGGCTTTTCGTGGCATAAACTGCATTCCAGGGCTTCCATCAGATGACCCATATATCTTTCATCAAAGCATGTTATTTCCTCTTTGGCTTTCTGTTTAATATTAACTCTGTCTACACTGCAGTTTCTATTTCACTGGTCTGCAGGATCTGTTTCTGACTCCCTCCAAGGTGAATCACTCCTGTCAGGTGGGGATGTGTGGTGCCTACTGCATTCCAGGCTGCAGTTCTGCCCCTATCCCTGCAAGGGGGTCAGAGATGGCATGCTGCAGAGTTTTTGAGTGCTTGATGCTAGTTTGAAAGGAATATGGATGATGCTTTTATACCCGTTCTTTTCTTTTGTCTCATTGTAACTGAAGTTAAGCAGATCAGGCTGACCAAAGAGCGAGAGTGTATCAGCGCACAAGGGTATCCCAAAAACCTGCTCGTTCCTGAGATACTTGCTGAGTGGCTGACAATGCTTCTGGTTTGACCACTGCCTTCCTCCATAGCACAGCTCATACCACTACATTTTGCTGTCCTTGTTACCCCTGAGTACAGTCACAGATGTCTTTTACTGTCTCTTGCTTTCAAAACCTAAATTAATATTCTGTAATGATTAATTAGCCTCATACCTGCTTGGGAATGAACTGTAAGTGCAAGGGATACTTGGCTATGTGAATGGGCTCAAGATGATGAACTGTATCACTCTGTAGCTGAAGTGTATCTCCAGAGTGAACCACTGAGCAGCCAACATAGATAAACATGTACAGCACATACAAGTGCATAGCACAGCAGATGTGGCACTTAGGGACATGTTTTAGTGGTGAACCTGGCATTCCTAGGTTAATGGTTGGACTTGATGGTCTAAAGGGTCTTTTCTATGATTCTGAGAGAAATCCATTTTTTTTTAACCTGACCTTGATCTTTTTTATGCTAATATAACAGCATTGATGCTGTACATATCTCTAAAATTTGCCAGGTGAACAATATTAACATGTATCAATGGAAGCATTGGAAAGTCTTGTGAGTTTAAGTGTGGAAGACCTCATTTTCAGGACTATGGTTTACAAAATCTACTTTTGTTGTCTAGCAGTCTTCAGAAGCAGGTCACTGTTTTAATTTGTTTTACTCATGTGCCAGGAGATGGGTAAAGATCGGTGCATGTTGCCATGGTTATTTTGGTACTTCATGTGGTTTATTCTCTGTTCTCCCCATGCTCTCAGTCACTTGCTGGATTCAGGGGTCATTTCCTGTTTGCAGAACTCCTGCTAACATCAGAAGGGCTGTTGTGCAAACATTTGGGGCTTCAATATGCCCTCTTTTGTCCTTCCTTTTTTTTCTTTTTGCTATCTGCCAGCCAGCTGAATAAGCACAATTATCTCTGTGCTCTGTGGATATGGTCTGTGCCCATGCAGGTGGGATTCTCAAAAGGCAGTCTGCCTTTCTGACACATCTGCTGTCATAAGTTTCCCATTTCTAAATCCAGACCTGAAAATTCAGCATTTTTGTCTCTGCTGGTAGAAACTGCTTAGAGGGAGATAGATCTGCTTTGCAGTTTTCTGCAGGGCCAGTTCTGCAGAGATACTGGTTGAGCCAGAAAAACCAAACTGGTCTGCTTCTTGGTGCCTGCCTTGTCCTACCCTGTGCATTTTTCAGGAAAAGGGAGGATAGCAAGATGAACAAGAAAAGCTAGCCATAAGGTACACATATGCTCCATTAAGCCTAATGATCCTACCCTGCCTTGGTACTGGTTGCCGGCTTATTGTAAAGACTTGGTGTAGTACAGTGAGCATTTGTACTGTCTTAGTCATTTCTGTGTGTAAGGTATTGAGACATCAGCCTCCTTTGTCTGCTGTCAGCCTTGAAGAGATGTTATTTCATAAACCAGTTAGCTGAATTCTGTTGAATTGACTAAATTCCTTATGTGAGGGTGGTGGTGGGGTGATGGGAGTGTGTATTCCCTTCCTGGAACTGGTCCTTGCACATGCTGTAATACCCATTGCTGCCTCCACACCAGTCTGGAGGAATATTTATGCCCTTGGCAGCGACTTTCCAGGCCTTATGAAACTTTTTTTTTGTGGTTCACCAAAACACCTTACAGGCCTGACTGCTCCCTGAGGATTGCAAGATTTTCCCCAGTTGCCATCCTCTGCAGAATTGTTCCTGGACCTGTTGTGCCAGCACCTCTTCGAACAAGCACTGCTTTGGCAGAATTACTTTGGCAGAAGGGAGGCAGAGGCAGTGCTGTTACAGCCATGTGGCATGGGGGGACAACTGCCTCAAGGACCCCGGTGACATTCTGGAGGGTGACCAGAAAACCATAGCAGCCTCGGGAGACAGATATAATTGATGCCCTAATGCAGAGCTTTTAGCTGCCAAAAGGCAAACCTTCCCCTCAGATTTCTGCTGTGCTTTAGTGCCTGTCGATTACTGGGGCAAATGCATTATGTTAGCAAAAATAAGCTTTCCCTGATCAAACGTTTGCTTTATCAGCCACATAAATGCCAGCATGACTCTCTCATTGCTACAACATATTAAACACCTTGGAAATGTTTCCTTAAACTCTAGGTCAGTCTTATGAAATCCGTCTACTTGAGAATAGGAAATTGGGAGAGTTTCAAGATTTAAACACAAAATATGTAAAGGTAAGGAGAAACATAGATTTCTTTTCTTCCTGCTACTACATACAGCCTTTAATGAAGGGCCTGACCTTGCTCCCACTGAGACAATGGAAAGCACTTTGCCATTGTTTTTAATGGAAGCAGGGGTGATGGAGTTGTTGAGTGCTAGTTTCATGGGACTATGCAGCTTGGCTTTGCAGGGCTTCAGGGCGACCTTTATTCTATTTGTGATCATGACCCCAGAGTTTCACTATGAATATTGGGTTCAGGGGAATCCCAAAGTTCAGTGGTGAACACGGTCAAAGCTGTGGAGAGGCAGACTTGTCTCCCTGCTGAATCACAGCAGCATGCCTGGGTTGTTACGTGCCAAATGGAGGGCCCAGGTGTTTACATAGTTCTGCCAGGTAGATTCTGTATAGCTCTGGTTTACTTTGGTAATGAGCATAATGATGAACATATAGAACTTGATCATTTGGTTTGGGGGACTTTTTCCTGTTGTTTCCTCCACTGCCAAAACAGTTCAAATTCAAAAACATTGGTCTGGACCCTGGTTCTGGATCCAACCTTCAATTCTTGACTTTCTGCCTCAGGATTTCCTTTGAGAAGTGGGAACTAGTTGCAAAATTAGTATTCCAATTTGGATTTGTTGTCCAAGTTTAGGCCGTTCTCTGTTTGTCTTTTGGCCCATTTCAGGTAGTATGTGGATTGGGATTCCAATTTTGCAGGTGTTCCCACTGTGGCATGTTTGCATCTTGAAGCTAGGGTTTGATTTAGGCATTTCTCAGGTTCACTGGCAAAAGTTTCTCACTCACTTGATACAGAAGTCCCCAGCAAGAGTGTGGGCTTGAGAAACTGGGATGTTAGGGGTCATTAACTCACATAAGTATAGCACTGTGAATATACAAAAGAATGTTTCAGTTAGGAGTACTTAGGACTTGTCTGCCCTGGGGATTGCCTTTATTCCAGCCTTTTATCTCCAGTTATTGGCATGGCTGCACCATTGCAGACCAGCCTGCTGTTACAGATGCTTTCCTACTCTACCTCCCCTTGTTTCACTATTCTGGGGCAAATCCTATGAATGGCTCCTAATGGCTGGAATAAAGTTTAATTCCCACTGACAAGGTGTCTGGACATGTCAGCTCCACTGGGACAGGGACAGGTGAGCTGACTTCCACATTTGCATATAACAACGGGATATACTGGGGTTGGGACACGGTACAGACTCATTAAATATTACCCCCATATGAGCCTTTTTTGGTGTTGAGGCAAAATAGTGATGTTTACATGCCATGACACCTAAGATTAGGTGGACATTGCTATAGTGAATTCCAGAGTAAATCCCAGAAAGCTGTACAGGGCTGTGTTACTCCTGTAAGATGTGCCCTGTGAAGGGGGAAGTGTGTTTCTCTCTCAGGGGTCCCTTAGGAATTTGATACCCATGATGATGGGTCTCTTAGGGGGACCCTTCTACTCTCCTCATCAATGGGGGTGAGAAGCATAACAGATCAGCTTTTGCTTCTACTCTGGAAAACCAAAGTCATCTTGAGAGAGGGTTCTGGATGCCATTGCTCATGCTGCTGTCTTTTTTTAACAGAGTATAATTCGTGTGGTTTTCCACGACCGCCGCCTGCAGTACACGGAGCATCAGCAGCTCGAGGGCTGGAGGTGGAGTCGGCCTGGGGACCGCATCCTTGATATAGGTGAGGCTATTTCATTGTGGCACCTCTGCTCTGCTGGGGACGTGAGTGGTGCATGCAGTGTTTGCATGAGTGTTTAGGTTTCCTAAGAATCCTGTATGTCTTTGGGAGGGAAGGAGATCTAGCGCTATAGGTCCCGAGTAGAGCTGTCTTTGATGGCTTCGCTTTCACATGCATGTTCTGATTGTATGGAAATGCTTTCTCTTCTTCAATTTAATATTTTTAAAATTTTAGGGGTTTTCTTCTACAGATATCCCGCTGTCAGTTGGTATCTTGGATCCCAGGGCTAGCCCAACCCAGCTGAACACTGTTGAATTTCTCTGGGATCCGTCAAAGAGGGCTTCAGCATTCATTCAGGTAAGAGATAAATCATATTTCTGTGCTAAATACAGTGGTTAGATATCTTTTAAAGACCTGGGGAGACAAAATAGCCAGTACATGAACAATAGAGAAGAGTGGTAATGATAATTACTAACTTGTGATAATCATGTGTAATTAATTTGTAGGATACTCGCTAAATCAATTCACTGGCTACTTGTTAATGTTGGAGTGCTACCTGCTACTGCCAGGATTTTCTTTAAAAAAGTACTCAGACACTGGTGTTGCTTTCTAAGCATAGGTTTTATTTTGAGAAAACTGTTCATAACCTGTTTTCCTTGCTTTCCTCTTTCATGACTGTTTCTCATTCTGAGCATCAACAATCTGTTTTTAATCTAAATGAGGGATTTACTTAAAGGGTGCTTTTCCTGATGCCCTGTTTCTTTCTGAACTGCTTGTTCTGATTATTTTGTCAAAAGGAACAGAAATGAAAACATACAAGCTCTTCTGCCTCTTAGGTTTTTGTGAGGAGCCAAAACCTCATGTTCAGGCAGTATCTGAAATTCAGATGAGCACAGGTTCCAGCTGTCTCCAGAGATGAGCACAGTTTCTGTTTTGCCAGGTACATTGCATCAGCACGGAGTTTACTCCACGGAAACATGGAGGAGAGAAGGGGGTGCCCTTCCGGGTGCAAATCGACACCTTTAAGCAGAATGAAAATGGTGAATACACAGAACACTTGCATTCTGCAAGCTGCCAGATCAAAGTGTTCAAGGTATGAGGTAGTTTCGGCTTTGTCATCAACTAGATTAAGGCACAGGAACATGCAAAGATTTCAGGTGGTATAGGAGTGATGCAAATATTGACATAAAAGAACAGACTTTTAACTGGATATGCTTAAGATCTTAAACAGGACTCCTGTGCACATGTTGCTATAAACACTGACCTACACAGTAATTCTAGTTGAAATGTTACACCAAGACTTGTGCCAGTCTGTTGCACCTCAAACACTACAAAAATACTGACATATTTGGGGTATCCAGTGTGTTTTGATGCTCCTAGGCAATCAAGGCATTAGGGCATCTTCAGTTTCTTTTTTGAGCCTTCCATGAACAATAAAATTTTATTGTGGAGATCTTAAATACCTTTTTGCTGTTGTTGGTGCACAGTTTGTCTCTGTGGTACCTGGAGGAGAAAAAGGTTCAGAGAACAAGCATCTGTGAAGCTCCTAATCCAGGCATGGCAGACCTATAGCTACTTAACCACAAACTCTCCATAGGCCTGTTTGCTCAAGGGATCTGCTGCTCCAGTTTGTTCCTGTGAGCAGTGTCTTTCCTGTTTCTGGAAAGATGCTACAAATGCCAGTTGAGGTGCATAACTTATGGACTGAAGTAGTTGGAATCACATCTCGGGGCTGTGGTCTGTCTATTTCAGAATTGCAATAGGCATCAGTGGTGGATGTACAGAAACAGTAGGGATGCTTGATTAATTCTTTTGTCTAGAAAATGCAGATCTGATCTTGTTTCATATGTAGAATGCATGTAAATCTTAAGGAGGCTTTTGTGAACAGATTAGATAAATCTGTTGGCCTCTGTCTCCAAACTAGTAATGCTTGGCATAAGGGAGAGCCTGTGCTTGTACTTATAGCCTAAAGGAGCAGACAGAAAACAGAAGACTGACAGGGAAAAAATGGAAAAGAAGACCACCCAAGAGAAGGAGAAGTATCAGCCTTCCTATGAGACAACTATTCTCACAGAGGTAAAGTGTTTTAGACACATCATTCTACATCATGTTGGGAGATAAATTTAAAAGAAAACAGCATCTGAGCCCTGGAGATTGTCTTGTGGAGACATGTGTGCTCAGATCTGAGTGAAACTGAGAGTGAAGCAAAATTATAAAATGACTCACTGCTGAAATTTGTGAAAGGTGCCAAAGTTTGTCTTGGGGTATAAACTATAACCCTTAGAAGCCTGGCTTAAAAAAAACACCAAAACAACAACTTTCTCAGTTTTCACCACTGTGCTCCTGGGCACTTGTCATGGCCCTCAGGTGCCCATTGTATGAAAATACAGTTGTCTGTATTTTTTTCAGAACTGCTTGGCAAAAGCTCATGTTGAAGATGGGACACTCGAGCAGATGAATAGGCTGTCTGATTAAATTATTAATCTGTTTTTCTGTGAGTGTGCCTATGAAGCTGTTGTTACATGCAAGATTTTGGGTTGTACTCTAGGAATATCTTGTCTTATGTTGTGATGCATCTGGTGTAGCGTTGTGTGTGTTTCTGCCCCTCCCTGTCATTACTAAGATGTTTGTATAAACTTACCATGGGCTGTAGAATTAGTCTAATTAGAATTAGCAACAGGACTCAAGATATTTAAAAGTGTTGTTCAGTCTCCCTATGGGAATGACTTGTTATTTGATTGAGTTCTTCTTTTTTTGGAGGGGCTTGCTGGACTTCCAAAAATGATGTTAATTATTCTTAATTTAAATCAACTTCCTATTTGTGAGATCCAATCTCTCCCACTCCATTTTCCTCATGTTGCCAGGAGCAACCAGCATGTTTTCTGATTGACAGACCTAATTCTACTGAGTTGGCAGATCCCAGACTCTCCCTGTGAGCTCTGATGCACTTTGACATATTGCGTGGGGAAATATGGGTTGCCAAAGAGTTAAATATTTGCTAGTGCTTGCGGAGATTATAAAACATTTGCTAGTGTTTGTGGAGATGATAAAGCTCCAAAGCTACACTTGCTGCCTTTTCATCATTGCAAACAAGGCCACTACAGAGCATTTTCTTGAGCTCTTGGTGGTGGGGGGTTCAACAGGGCTAGATTTCTCCTGCTGATTACTGTGGCTTAAATTCAGGACAGAGTCACCAATTCTAGCTGGGTTACTCTGGTTTTATACTACTGTCATGGAATGTGGAGTCTGACCTATACTTGTGAAGGCTTTTAGTAGCTTTGTGTCTGTCTGTCTTTCTTAAATTTTCTCCACTTAGTACCCATTTATGTCTGGAGCTGTTTGGCTAATAGCCAGAGGTTTCAGCAGGCTGGTTCAGATTCTGCTCTTTTGCTGGTATAAACCTGAAGCAATGCCACAGGAGCATTTTTGTCACTCTTGCCTGGATTTAATTAGGGATTTATAATTGAGACCAGGGGTATTTCTGTATCATTGCTGCCTTCAGTCTGAGTTGACTTACTGGTGTTGCTCTGACTTACAGCTGTGCACGCTTTGGCCCAGTGTTATTTGGGGACAGGCTTTGTGAAATGGGAGAAAGAAATGTGGAATGCACAACTGGAATCAATCTTGGCCCCCTGACAGCCCACTTGGAGAGCAGTGTAGAAAATCCATGGCCTGTCTCCTCCTCCCAGCAGGAGTGATGAGCTGAAGCTAGTGGCGTGGCAACAGCATGAATGTGGTATTAGAGGAGAATCAAATCCTTTATTTCCATCCTTATGAAAGTTTCCCCACTGCCTTTCTTCCAACAGTGCTCTCCCTGGCCAGATGTGCCTTATCAAATGAACAATGCTCCATCTCCAAGCTACAACAGTTCTCCCAACAGCTTCAACCTCGGAGATGGGTATGTAACAAATACATGCATTATCTTCCCTCTTGATATGGTAGCCTTTGTGTGTTTGTGCATTTCTTACCCTGCAAGATGATGCTAAGGACCTCCCCCCTTTCTGGCAAGCAGAAAGTATTTTCCCAAAGCCTTTAAGACCTTCCATCCAGGAATTCCCTGTAGTGCAGAGTACTGTTTGTACATGTTTATGTGGTGGCTGGAAGGGGAGCATCAGAGGGCCTCAGGCAACCCCTGGTGAGAACACACCATGCCCTGTACCACCAACCCCAGTATCTTCTCACAAGTGTGTAAAGGCTTTCAGCACCTCTTCAGAGTAGGTGTTTCTTCCTTAATTTCTGTCTTGAGGTAGTTTGGGGTGCTGAATTCCTGGGTGAATGACACATAAAGAAATCCTGTTTGGGGCAAAACAGCCTGGCTTTTGAGATGCCTTTTCAGAACAAAGGGCTAATGAAGATATGTTTAATTCATTAAATAGCCATCATAATGAGACAGCTCTAGTGATTCTGAAATGCTGAAGATGGTAACTGGTATCAGAAAGGTACAGAAGTGTCCCTCAGTACTTATCAGTCCTCCCTGCTACATATTTCCCCTTAGGAATTTGGTATAGGCTTTTACTTTTGGTAGGACTCTGCCATCTTACTGCCTTCCCACACAACTTAATTACCATGTTGTATTCATCCATGTTGTATCACTAATTTTCAATGAATCCCCTCAGACTATGAAAAAGAACAAACACTGAAATTACAAAATTTTGTGTTAGTAGAGAGATCTGCTGAGTATTTTTTGCCTTTGGCAAAATCTCTGATATGTTTAGGAGTCCTGTCTGTGTTTAGGAGAATTTACTAGAAATGTGGTTTTGCATGATTTATGCCACTTGACTATGTTTAAGATAACACCAGGGTTGAATTATAAGATCCTTTATTCAATTTTTTAAAAGAATTATTATTAGACAGTGGATTTAGTTAGGATATTTCTGGCTCATAGAAATTTCAAATTCAGCCACCCTGTAGGTTACGATTTTCTTGCTTAGGTGATGTCACATTAGTGAGTCAACCATATGGAAAAGCTTGATTGAGGTCAGTAAACCTGAGGTTTTTCTCTCAGTTTTGAGGAGAGCCTCAACTGACCAAAAAAAGACTCAGGTAGAGAGTGTTTTTTTAAAATTCTTGTACCAAATTTTGAACACTTTTTAAAGATCTGATAGACAAAAAAAAGCCAAGTTGGATGTAACTTGTGAAAATTGAGTCAAATAGAGGAGGGGGAAGAGGATGGACACTGCAATGTAAAACTTAAAATAATGTGTTTTTTTTCTCTTCCAACTTTATATAATTTCTTTTAGCAACAGTTCTCCAACCCACCAAATGGAGCTCCTGCCTCCCACCAATGATGTAAGTACTTGAGATCATGTTAATGTGGTGCTTTTCTCTTTTAGGACACTGGTGAACAGTTCATTTCAAGACCTTCTTATTCTTTTTGCAATGTAGCATCTCCTTCCTTCTGCTTCTATTCAAGATGCCCAGCAGTGGCTTCATCGTAATAGGTTCTCTCCATTCTGTAGACTCTTCTCAAGTTTTTCGGGTGAGTTTAAACAGTCCAAATATTCTGGTTTTTTTCTCCTCTGTAAGTGCAGCTCATGTAGCATCTGCTGCTGGCCACATTTGATGGGATCCTTGGTCTGATCCAGTGTGGTTGTTCTTTGGTTCTTAGATTAGTTACCAGTTATCAAAACTGTTTGTAGACCTACAGAGTAAGTAAAAATGGAAGGAAATAAGTTAAGATGGAAGGGACTTTGTAAGTTCAGGAAGTGCAACTTCAAAGCAAGTCCAGGGCCTTGTGCAGTTGCCTTTGAACATCTCCAAGGCTGGAAATTGCACAGTGTCTCTAAACAACTTCTTCAAATACTTAACTATTCTGACAGTGAAAATGTTTATTCTTATGTCTAGTCAGCACTTCATCTTCTGTCTGCTGCCTCCCATCCTGTCCATGTGCATATTTAAGAAGCATCTGGCACCTTCACTGTGCCCTCCATTCAGTAGTTGTACACACCAGTAAGGTGGTGGAAGGGGCAGCTGTTAGAGGTGTTGAAACCATGAGGAGACTCTCTCTGGCTTGCAGCACGATGAAATAACTCAGTGAATGTGACAGTTACAGAAGACCAGGTCATTTAATGGCCAGTGTGAAATATCTGGCTTGTTTATAAGTTGGCTGGAATATTTTCCAATGCAGCACTGTTCTTTTGGCAGCTTCCAGCTTTCAGTTCCACAGTGATTGATTTAAAGTGCACACCTCTCTGAATTTGCAACTTCTCTATATAAATCGATCTGGTTTAGCTTTGTGGATTCTCTATGCCCTCTACCCCTGCCCTTTTCTGCTGCCCATACATACTATTTGGAAGCTGAGATTTGCTTAACTTCTGAAGAAAAATCAATTTGAAATATGTAGGTGCCGACTTACTGAAGATGTCCAAAGAAGATTTTGTTCAAATCTGTGGGCCTGCTGATGGAATTCGGCTCTTTAATGCAATTAAAGGAAGGTTTGTACTGTTTCCTTCCTATTTTTTTATGATCCCTTGATAATTTCAGTGTTAACTAGAAGTTAATCTTGGAGTTGTAGCATTTAAATTTCCTTTTAATACTTCAGAGAGGTTCTCTCAGGAACTGGAGATCACAATGATATTCAAATCCAAGCACAGCTCAGAAATGTTGCCAAAACAGAGCAACATAATGTAGATCTCTAGTGGTTTATTTGCTACCAGCTGATAGCTTGCATCCATTTCATGAGATACACAGCCTACACTACCCTATGCTGCTCATAAATTCTACAGCTGAGCAGGATTTAACTCAGTAGAGGCAGGTATGATGAACTGCTTAGCAAGTGCTGTAAACTGTTCTTACCTGATGTTGAAAAGATTAAGATGCTCTGCATCACCTCCCAGGAGTCTCTTGCTAGACATCCTAGGCTGTCTAGTCACCAGCATCAAGACTATCCCTTAGTTTGTTACTTATGCACGGCATGAATGATTCCATCTCTTATTGTCTGATAGCTGACTTGGAACTTCCAGATCTATTTCAGATCTACTTGGTAGCTTACTACTGTCTTTGATTAATCCATAGAAATGTGAGGCCCAAGATGACAATTTATGTCTGTCAAGAACCAGAGCAAAACAGGTCTCATCTCCACCAAAAACGAGAAAATGGAGATGGCAGTCTTTGTGGTAAGTTCTTATGGATGGATTTTGTTAAACACTTACCTGGTAAGAATGCTGCTTTCTGCCTGAGCTCCTGTGCAGGACAGCTTGGTGTCCTTAGTGTTTGAAGGGATCCTTTTTATCCCAGTTTTGCCACTTTGGTTGTGGTTTCACAGCTACAGATTCCAAATGACACTGTCTGCCTGGGGGACAGACTCAGCTTACAAATTATCTGCAGAATGCCACAGCAAAATCTCTGTTCAGTTCTTAGTAGGCACAACAGCATTAAAAACCACCCTTCCATCCACAATTTGCTTTAGATTATGTCTTCTTGTTTGAAAAAATTCAGGGAAATTAAAAGTGAGTATGTCTTAAAGTAATGTTATAATTCTTGAAAGTTCAAAGCTTTTGGGTATTTTTCATCCCTCATGACACAATGTGCAATCAAATGAGAACAAAGATTATCCTTAAATCTTGCATTTAGTAATAAACAGGCACAGCTTTCCTACCTGGTAGCTATAATTTGGATTTCTAAAGCAATACTGTCATCCATGGTGCTACCTTTTACATTGTATGTTTTAGTTTGTGCCTATGGAATCAGTGAATGGTGTCTAATAAAACACTGCTTTTGTGTCACACAGCATGTGTTTTACTATTTGATTGAATTATTTTTTTTTTAAACTTCAATAATCAGTAAAAAAAGATTATCTAAAAATATAAGCAGCTTTATGAGAAGGCTGTTTTAGTGCCTCATGATGCAAGTTGTAATTAGTCCCCATGTTTTCCTCTGGGTAAAAGTGATGTTTTAATTGCCTGCTGCATAGGAATAGTGGGTATTTTTCTGCAAATCATCAAGTCAGATATTTGGAGGTTGCTTTAAAATACTAAACTTGTTTATTCCACTTGAACCTTCATCTTAAACCCATTTGGTTGTTGATGCTGAGTGTCTTGGTGCCATCTGTATTTGCTATTCTGTAGCTGCTTTCCACTTGTTGCAGTGTACCACGCAATCTTCTTGGAGGAGCTGACCACGCTGGAGTTGCTGGAGAAGATTGCGAACCTGTACAGCATTTCTCCACAGCAGATCAACCGCATCTACCGGCAGGGACCCACGGGCATCCACGTCCTAGTGAGCAATGAGGTGAGGGGCTGAGGGCTGCAGCTTGGTCAGGGCTGCAACACTTGTCTGACTTCTTGGAGTTAGAATGAACTTTCAAATTATGGAATGCTTTTTCAAGGGAGAACTGTAAAGCCGTTAATCCCACCAAGTTAAAGTAGCGAATCAGCATGCACAACACTGATTTTGGTGTGGTTTCAAGACCTTTGCTTTGTAAAAGATGTTGGGGTTTTTGTTTGCTTTTTTAAAGTAAAAAAAAACAAACTAAATTGGTCATTTATTGCGCTCTACCTGAAAAGAGGTTGTGGCAGTGTGGGGCTCTGTCTCTGCTCCCAAATAACAAGTATCAGGATGAGAGGAAATGGCCTCAAGTTGTACCAGGGAAAGTTTAGATTGGGTATTAGGAAAAAATTGTTAATTGAAAGGGTTACCAAGCATTGGAGCAGGCTGATCAGGGAAGTGGTTGAGTTACCATCCCTGGAGGTGTTTAAAAGTTGTGTAGCTGTGGCACTTGTGGATGTGGTTTAGAGTTGGACTTGCTAGTGCCAGGTCAATGTTTGTGCATGGTGATCTTAGAGGTTTTTTCCAACCTAAATGATTCTATGAATTTCTTTTCATTTTGGCTACTTACACACATTTTTTTAAGTAAGGATCTAAAGAACTTTCAAAATTAAATAGGTAAGTTGCCCAAAGAAGGTAAGTTTTAAAATCTGTAGGGCAATTAGTTTTACATCTTGGCCCATGTTTCCAGGCACTGGGCCTATCACTATATGCATACTATAATTTATGGACCTCTGATACTGTTTGTGTCCCGTTATATGATGCCTTAATTTAGTCCATTCCATTAGCTTACAGGTTAATAGTGAGTTGCCCTTCTTCCTCTTTTTCCTCTACTAAATTACTCATTCATGCACCAGAGTCACTTAAGGAGCTTCATTTAAAGAAGCATTGTTAAAACAAATGAAGCAGAGCATAGGTCTCAACTGGAGCCTAAATGGAAGGCTGTAATGCTTATTCCTGAAGTCTCCTTGCTATTCCAGCCTGATTAAATCTGAAACTTCAGTGCTTTATGGATGCAAAGTGCTTGGAGGCAGCTCTTGGTAGGGGAATTGCATGAACCAGCCTGGGTATAAGGCTTTAAGTATTTGCTTAAGTCAATTATTAACAAGTTCTATTGCTTTTCTAATATTTTTTTCTTGTTCTAGTACTACAGTGGCAAGAGTGTGGCACTCTGTGAATGTACTTCATGCATCATTAGGCAAAGACACACAAACTGGCCAGAGAAGCCTGATTTGGAGGAGTAGGGGCTGGATGTTAAATCCAAAAGAGTATAGGGAGATCAGTCCAAGTTGAAAAGGGTGTTTTGATGTGAGAATTTACAGCTGAAAAATGCACTTCTTGAATGATACTCAGAAGCTAGGAGAAGGCTTTTTCACAAGGCTGGATTTCATTAACTGATCAGAGAGGTTCAGGTCACACCTCCCTTCTCTGGAATTGTGTCCAGCATTTGCCTCAACTGTATGAGACACATCCTGAAGGTAATTTACCTCTTCTGTCCCACATAACTACTCTAAGATGGGAGGAAGCATTGACTAAGGATGAGGCTTAAATGGGCTTTTCATATTGCAACTGAAATAATCTTTATCTCCTTATTTAAGGCTGTCACTAGAATCTGCACCTCTTCTGAAAATCTAGGTGCCTCTCATGAATAGCTCAATAGCTTTAGGTTCTGGTCTTTCTTCCCATGATTTGCCTTGCTTCTTATAACAGTTTCATTACAATTCTTCCTTGACAAAATACAAAAAGGTAAAGGAATCCTGCAAGCACAGCACCTGTACTTAATGTCTGATCAAAATAGTCAGATGGATGCTGCTGAGGTGGCTTTTCAGTAGCAATTCCTTTATTCAACAGGGAGTCCATTTCTTGGGGTTTACCATTTCCAGGTTTTCATTAAATGCTGATGTAAGTTTAGCTGAGCTCCATAGTTTAGCTGAATATATAATTACCACTGTTGGATTTTTAGGAAAGGGACTACCTTAATCCTATCTAAACTAGTACAGCTTCACTGAACACAGCAAAGGGTGTGATCTTTAATAAAATATTTGGAGTGGTAAAGGAACCTTCAGGATCAAGAGCTGCAAAGAGGATGGTAAAATGCTGAATAAGCTAGATCAGTTTCAGGCAAGCACATTTAGTGTGAGCTTCCCTTAAACACAGTAGCCATTGCAAGGACCTTATTGATCAGTCATGTACATTAATAATCTCATGGGCAGGGTTACTCAGGACTGGGCAGGATTAGACACCAAATGCTGTTTAATACCTCTCCTCTAAGTCTGTACTGGCTCTGAAAGAATTGTGAATTTAATTGCTAAAAATGTATTGTGTTGGCTTTTTCCTTCTGCCCTTCAGATGGTGCAAAACTTCCAAGACGAGTCCTGTTTTGTTATCAGTACATTGAAAGGTGTGTATTCCTGCTGCTGTTACCTGTTTCTCTAAAGATAATTCCTCCTTTCAATTGCGCTAAATGTTATCACAAACTCACTGCTGTTATCCTGAAAAGATAAGTAATCTAATCTAGTATAAGTCAAGCTGTTGAGTACACTATGATAGACTGATCAGTGCTTTACTTTCAGTTACACTGCTACAAAAATTCCATAAATGCATTGACACCACTGACATAAATGAGCAGGAAGCCTTTGAGTAAAACAATAAAATATGATAGTATGTAGGAGTTTTTAATGTAAATTATTTGACTGAGCTGTTCAACATTGGTTTTCATGAGTGGATTTTGAAACAAGTGTAGGAACTATTGCAAACTACCTAGAAAGAAAATTTCAAGTTCTGTATCTCTGGTGTTTCTTTAAAGCAATGAAAGCATGTTTTGCATTTCTTTTTATAGCTGAGAGCAATGATGGCTACCACATCATTTTAAAATGACCGTGCTGCACAGAGAGACTTTAACGGCCTAAAACTTAGTGCCTCACTGAGATTGCTACAACCTAGACTGGAAACACGAAGAACCTTCTGGATAAATGCTCCTGTGAACTAAGAATTACCAAACAGCTTAAGAAAAAACTTGCTTTTACAGATAGAAATTTTTGGTGGTGTGTGATTTTGGTGGGTTTGGTTTTTTTTGTTTGTTTGGTTTCATTTTTGTTTTGGTTCTTTTGTTTTTTTTAAGCTGGAGCTGAGAACATCCTCAAAGCTTGTACATGTTTTTTCCTCCCTCCCTTCCTCTTCAGTCTTGAAAATTGTAGAGGTGTCTGCTTATTACTTAGAAACATCTGCCATGTACTAAAGGGAAATGAAAGATAAACAAATCCCAATTCTCTTCACCCCTCATGTTCAGGTGAATTGATTTACTTACAGTTCTGAGTGCTCTCTTGCTTTCGACACACACCCTGATGCTGATGGATGTGGACTCCCCAGGGTTCCTCTTGTACTCTTTGAGGTGGAAGGCTTGGGGCTACTCCCAGAACAGATTGGGCAGTGCAGAGGATGGGTTTGGTGCCCACCCTTCACTGAAGTGTCAGCTCTGGAAGCCCCCCACACTTTGCTGTTCTGCACCTGCAGGTGTGCTCCAAGTCCAGAGACCCTGGTCCCTCCTGACAGAACTCCTGTAGTACTGATCCAGCAGAGCAGTTCTGGGGGGTTCAGTGCAGGACAGACAACTTGTGGTGAGCAGTTGAGTACCTTATTATCTGTGGCTTAAGAGTAGTCTCCTTGAATGGAGCATATGAAGGTTTTCTGAGGAACTCTTTTGAGCATTGGAAGCTATAGTGCTCATGACAAATTCATACTATGGATTTATTCTACTCTACAAATTAGTGATTAACTGCTATCTTTACTGTAACTGGGAATTAGAAGTTATAATCTTAATGGATTTTCATCCTGTTACTGAAGTAAAACTGTTTTGATCAAGACCAGGTAACAGATCATCTTAGTTGCTGCTTCCTATATTCTTGCTCTTTCACCTTTGACCTCTGTTTCCCATATCTGTAACTGTGATCAGCTCCACTCTCCCTTGGTCTTTTGGGACTCCATCCAAGCTCCATTGACCTAAAAAGGTGGCTTCTGCTGAAGTCAAAGGCAAACTGCATTGCACCTTTCTTGCATGGATGAAAGCATTTCACATTTGACAGCTAACTAATGTGGCTGTTTCCCCAAACTGAGTGTCCATATACCATCAAAATCTGATTCTTGAACATTTCATTTAATTTCATCCTGAACTGACATGGAAAGCTGAAATACCAAACATTTTCCTGGAATGGAAATTTTTGAAAAAATGAGAAATTGTCAATTGGAAAACACTGAATAAAATGTTCCAGCCTTTTGAAATGGAAACATTTAATTAAATCCATTTGGCCCTTAAAGCAGCATCAGTTTGAGCTACTGTTGCAGCCCTCAGAAATTGTCATTCGAGTGCCTTGTGCGCCATGTCTCCCTTGGGGCTGAGCTCTTTGGCTGAATCACAGATCCCATGATGCTCCTACCCTGGGTTAGTCAAACAGGGAATGCGTCATGAGGGCTGGAGAGGTGCCCAGGGAGAGAGGGGGCCGTGGAGCCCTTGAGTTACAGCTCCCGGCTGACACTGGAGGAATTCGGACAGACACGGACTGATATCTCTCTGACAAAAGTTATGTGTTTCAAGTGTTCCCAACAGAAATAAACAGCAAAATATTGAGAAAAGCAACCTTTTTTTCATTAAAGCATCAAGTTTTGCGCAAAAAACCCCACCCATCTCCACTGATTTTTTTTTTTTAAACACTGAAAATAATACTAGAATAGAAAACTTGTGTTACAATGGGAAAGCCTTCAGCCAACTCAGCTAATTGAGCAGCAATGCCTCCTTAGGCACGATCTTGCTCAACTGTGACTGTCATGGATGCTCCATGAATTGTAGGCATGCAAAAAGGATGTTTAGGCTTTGGGATGTGGCGGTTCCCCCTTCTGTAATGAAGAAATTGAGGCTTCTTGGTTGAGAACCAAGCTGTGTGGGCAAGGAGGAGCTCCTGGCCATGGAATCCAGGTTGTGGCCAAACACAGCTGCCTTCCAAAACAGTGAATGAATTCCAGATGCCTTTGTGAGCAGGTGGGACAAGTGTGCCCTTGTGCACCAGGAGCTGCTTGATTTATTTTCTAGAAGATGTTTTGGAAGATGGATGTTGGCTGTGGTTTTTCATGCTGCTCTGTAATACTGACTGTCATGGGCATGCAGCTCAGGTGAATCTGACCTTGTGCGAAGGGTTCTAAATAGACCTTGAATTTGCCAGTGGTGTAGCCTGTGTCATATCCTATCCACTTGGATGTGATAGCCCTCTAACTGAGGGGACACAGCAATACTGATACAGTAGAGTGAAGGCAGGATAGAGGTGGCTTTGCTGCCAGAGTTAGGGACTGAGAGCTGTTTTTGTTATAAAATGTCTAACTTCCTGATTTTTTTAAAAACTAACTCTTGCCTGTAAGGAATTATATGCCAGGGTCCTCATAGTGTTTCAATTGCACTTGCTTGATGAATTTTGAACACAAAGAAGTCTCTTAGGGCCTTCCTGTATTTAGATTTTTTAAAATAAATAATTTTAGGATGAATTTGATATCTTGCTGTCATGCTCTAAAAGGATACACCAGAGTAAACAATCCCATAGCCTATGTATATTTTCCTATGGGTTGGCTCTGTGTGAGCCTGTTGTAAAGCTGTATGGCTTAGGGGTGTGTGTAATACCTATCCTTATTTGACAGAGTAGTTCTAGTCCTTGTTTAGCCTCTGTAGCCCCATCAGGAATTTGGAGGTTTGTGGTTAAGTAACATACACGTCCATGAAGGCACAGCATGGCTGGTTTGGTGTCCAGGAGACTGCTGAGTTACTTCAGCTTAGAATCACACACTGTCTTGAGTTGGAAGGGACCTGAAGGGTCACAGAGCCCAATGCCCTGGTCCTTACAGAAGTACCTAAAACTGATCTCTGTTACTATGAGCGTCATCCAGAGTAGCCCAGGGGCTCCTGGAACTCTGGCAGGCTTGGTGCCATGACCAGGGGCAAGGGAGGTCCCTGGCAGCCTGTCCCAGTGACCAGCCACCCTCCCAGTGAAGAACCTTCTCCAATGTCCAGTCTGAACTTGCCCTGATTCAGCTTCACTGCCTTCCCTTGCTTCTGCTGCTGGTCACCAGAGAGGGGACATCAGCACCTCCCTCCCCTGCTGCCCTTGAGGAAAGTGCAGAGGGATAAAGAGAGAAGGAAAGACTTGTCTCACCTGTGTGTCAGGTAATCCTTGACTGTCCTTGGATCTGCCATCCCTGGAGGGACTTGTTTGACTCGTTTGTGGAAGTGACAGCCTCCAGAAGGAAACTTTTGTTTCCTCAACAGTGGAGGAAGCACAAGTGTCTAGTCTGGGTTAGATATCTAAATTCTAGATAGGCTAAAGGCAAGGGAGGTGAGTAGCTCCCACTCATCTAAATAACATTTAGTTTTTTTACTAATTGCCTGTTACATTTCTTTTTACTCTTTTTTTATAGTTGTTGCTTCTACTTCTTTCTTAAAAAGTAAGAAAACCTACTCAAAGTGATTTAACTGGAACTTCTTACAGCTATATGTGAAATTTGTGCAGCAGAACTTTATAAGGACTGGGGCTTAGGATAACAGTGAGTAACACTGTTTATCAAGCTGTCCAGCTCTTCAGTTGTATGTATGATGACAGCCACTATGTGTAGAAGGGCTTGCTGGGGATGAAAAGGCAGGATCATTATCTGATTAATACCAATATGACTCTAGCCAGTACTGCAGAGTATAAACTTTCATTCTTGTCGGATCTGTACTGTCTGTTTGAAATTTCATAAATTGTGGCATTTTCTCTATCAATGGAGTAAAATTACAGAGATCAATTAATATGACTCTGATGAGGTCTGGAAAACTCACAGTAATGCCCATGATACACACCTGCAGGGCAGGGAGAGGGCAAACGATCTGGTGATAATAACTTGGCCATCTGATTAAGGTGGCAGGACTGGTGCTATTAAAATTAAAGCTCCTGTTCTTTCTGCTGGCCCTGCATGGTTAATTGGCTAAAGTAGAAATAATCATTCAATATGGAAAATACTGGAGTTCTCATTGTCTTAGTGTGAAATTTAATGGGCTGAAATTTCAAGACTTTGAGGTGGTAAAAGGATTCTTGCATTTGAGAAGCCCTGAATGGCACTCTCCTTATAATGTAACATATACATATATATGCATATATATATACATATATATCCACATACATACTGTACTGTATCAACACATATTTGTGCTGGGTACATGTGTTCTTTGGCTTTAACTGGTACTCTGCTTTGTTTAGTTGCAGTTCAGTGTAAAAGACTCTGGTTGATCAAGCTTCAAAACCCAGCCATTCCTTGGGTAGAAATGTAAAAGTCCATAGTAGCAACTAGGTGATTTGGACATGGTACACTTGGAGTGATGTAAGTTTGATAAATTTCTGCAATACAAATCCCAGGCCTTGGTGAAGATGAGCATATACTTTCACTAACACTGCAGTTCTACATTGCAGCTTCTGAAAATTAGTTAGAGTAACAGAAAAATAGATTGCCCAATGCTTAGTGAACTAGTAAGGCTACTCCATAAGCAGAACAACCATACGATGACTTTTCCTAGCTCAATGTTGTATTGCTTAAGCATTGGCTGTAATTCTAACAATCATCTGGTGGATGACTCAAATAGGTTTTTTTTGTCTCTTATCTGTTGGGATTTTCTTTACTTTTCAAAGAAATGCTTATAGTCAGACTGTAGCTTCTCTTTCTCCTCCAGTTATGAAATGGTTTAACTTTATGCTAGTAATGGAAATATTTTCATTAGATTATAATCTCTTTGACAGCACAGGGTACTCAGAGTGGGGAGTGTTTGGCTTTGATCATCACTACTGTGGGTGAATATGAGAAGGCAGACTGGAGGTGTATCTAACATACTTGGCTCTCTCTAATAAATGGGTTAAGCTAGTGCCTAATTTTTTGTGCATTTTTGATTTGTACCTTTTTTTTTTCCCATTCCCTCAAAAATCTGCTCCCTGGCAGGGGGTGCATTGGTGACCAGATGGTGTGCCCAACTTTTTAAAGTAGCCTGCTGTCCTGGTTTGCTTGGGGTGAGCGTTTATCTTTCAAAAGGGAGTTACCACTCTTCACTGACAGTGCAGCTGTTAGAGGCAGGCAGTGCTGGCCACAAAGCTGGCATGATGGGCAAGGGTGGGTGGAGGTGGGTCGATGGGAGGCTGAGGCGTACCAGTTGTGAGTAAATACTGCCACACTCTTCGTCTTTTCCTTTGTTGGTTTTTGGGGTTTTTTGTACATG